TATCTGAAGTGGTGCACAGGGACACTGCGGGTTGGCCCCTCCCCTCCAAGGCAGTCAACCTATAAGTGCCTTCAGCACTTTATGCTGTGCGGTTACATCACAGGGTTAGAACAATTTCATCCCTGGCTATTGGTTCCTGACCAGCAACTTGGTTCAGCCCAAGCTGCTCCCACCAGTCCTCTCTGGGCCAGGGGCAGTTGACTGACACCACTGTGGCACTGGGCTCTGCCCTACTCCAAGATGTCTTCTAGTCAGCCTCCCACACTGCGGGACCAATTTCCAGCACTCAGCAAGAGCCAATAAAGCTCTCTATCTTGGCTCCACTCCACACTGTGCTGCGTCCTCTCACCAAGGCCCCGGGACTCACCAATTCCCATTATCGGCAGCCGTGGCTTCAGCACAATCTTGAATCATTTGACTCCATGGCACGCCCAGCACAGCGAGGAATGGGTCTCAGTGAGCGTGTGGGGCTTTGGCCTTCCACCCATGCTTTTCCTTCCTCCACCTAATTTTATTTTTCTTTAAGTCTCTTTCTGGGTTAGTGTTCTCCAATCGTCTGGCCCTCTTCATGTTGTCAGATTCTAGCAGCTGAGCTGTTTTCCTTGGAGAGGTCCTCTATCCAGCTTCTTAGCAAGCCATCATTTTTCTCCTCTCCATATGCTGATATTGTTAATGAATTATAAAGATCATACATCATAACCAAGTTGTCTTTATCCCAGGAATGCAAGGATAAATCAACCTACATAAATCAATGAGTGTAATATACCATTGTTAGAGTTTGTGTCTAGATAGAGTTATGTCTAGTTTATGCCCCCCCCCCACCAAATTCTCATGCACTCATAGTAATAGGTGGGGCTTCTGAGAGGTGACTGAATCCTGGGAGAATGGTGCTTTTCAGTAGATCAACACACTGATGAGTTTGTGGATAAATGTGATGTTGGAAACTAAAGTCTGGTAGGAGGTGAGCTGGGGCTGTGGCCCAGAAGGATCGCCATCCTTTTCTCCCTCCTCCTTTGATCATTCTCTGCCTTCTGCTTCCATGCTGTGGCAACCCTCCTCTCTCATTCCTCTGCCGTGACCCTTGCCTTGGAGCCAGTGGACCATGGGCTGAAACCTGTAAACCTGTAGGCCAAAATACACCTCTAAATTATAGGTATCAGGTACTGTCTTTTGTGTCAGAGACAAGAAAAGTAACTAATACAACCATATAGATAGCACTTAGGATTAAAAAGACATTATTAGCAGCAGGTGAGCCAGGAAGAGAACAAGTCAGCTTCTCCTGAGATCCAGCCATGTTGGAACTTAGGGTGCTGAGCAAGAAAGCAACACACCCTCCTTCCTGGTAAGTGTCTGTGGTGCAAGTAAGCAGCGGGTGAGCCAGGAAGAGAACAAGTCAGCATCTCCTATGAGTCTACTGGCACACGGGATGAGAATCAAACATACCATCCCCACCCATTAGCAACTGGGGGCCAGAGGTCTCAGCATCTCTTAGGAGCACAACCATATGCAATATAGCAAATATGGAGGATTTCCTTCTATATTCTCTTTGAAGGCAAATATTGTTTTCACTGTTTTGCTTTTTTCTGATTAATTGTTTTGCTCAATTCAATATTGTTTTGATAGGTTTTATAATGTTCTGTTTCTGATTTGATTTTGCTATACCTGATTGAATGGACAACTATTGTGAAGATAACAAGATACACTATGGTACCTATTACTCTTACCCAGATATCCTGCTGTGAAGTTCTGTGCCAGTTTCACTGCACTGTCTCAATTGGCTTTGTTCTGCCTTGTTTTGTTGTATTTTACTACCTTCAAAATAAATAAATAAATAAATAAACATTATCACCTCAACAAATGTAGAAAAACCCTTTGATAAAATCCAACTACCAATCATGGGGGGAAAATGGTGAAATAGGAATACAAGGATTTTACCTCAAACTAATAAAAGTAGTCTATGAAAAATCCAGGCCAACAGCATACTGAATATGGGAAAATTCTAAAATCAGGGACAAGACAAATGTGTACACGGTCATTCCTGTCAATATAGAGCTCAAAACTTTAGCCAGAGCTGGCAGGCAAGAGAAAGAAACAAAAAAGGTATGAATAGGAATAGGAGGAAGTTGAACTATGTGAATGATATGATCCCTTATGTAGAAAACTCGAAGACCTCAAGCAGAATAATTTTAGAGGTAAAAGCAGATTAAGCAGAGTGGTAAGATCTAAAATCAGCACTTGTAATTCTATTGTGTTTGAGTATACCAATAATGAACCTACTGAGAAAGAAATCCGGAAAATGATCCCACTTATAGTATCTCCAAATGAGTTAAATTTCTAGGAGTCAGCTTAACCAAGGAAGCACAGGCATCCATAATGAAAACTACAATCCTCTAAGGAAGAGACTGAAGAGGATGCTAGGAAATAGAAAGACATCCCCTGTTCCAGGACACTGTCAAAATAGCCATATTACCAATGTGGTAACAGCATTCTTCACAAAACTAGAAAAAAAATACCAAAATTTATATGAAACCAGAGGAGATCCAGAATATTCAAAGCACTCTTGAGCAAGGGAAGATGGGAGGCATCACTATCCTGGATTTCAAGTTATTCTGCCAAGCCATGGCAAGAAAATCATGGTGGTACTACACAAAATAGACATGGAGTCAGTGAACTAGAAGACACAGAAACAGCTTCAAGGACCTTTGCCGTGTGATCTTTGATAAAAGAGCTAAAATGAATGCTGAGAGAAGATACCCTCTAACAAATGATGCTGGGATAACTGGTCATTCACACAAAGAATAAATTTAGGGCTGTGTTTCTCTCCCTGTACTAAAACCAAATCAAAATGGTGCATAAAAACAAAAACAACTGAATCTGTTGCAAAATAAAATACTTGAAGACAAGGCCATAGGCTAGATTTCTGGAACAGAATCTCAATTGTACAAGAAGTAGTTACAAGAATCAAAAATGGGTTATATCCAATTGAAAAGCTTCTGCAGAGAAATGGAAATGATCAACAGAGTTAAGAGAAAGCATACAGAATAGAGAAAATTTAGCAGCTATTCTTTTTATAGAGGGCAACACTTAGAATACATAGAGCACTCAAAAAATTTGTCAGCAAAAGCAAAATCCCCCATCAAAAAGTGAACAGTTGAAATGTATAGACACCTCTCAAAAGAAGAAGTACAGTGGCCTATGAAAACATTAAAAAAAGCTCAGTGTCTTTGGCCACTAGGAATTGTAAATCAAAACAAGATCAAAATTTCATACTGCTTCAGGAAGAATGGCTGCCATCAAAGACTCAAAACCAACAGATACCAGCAAGATGTGGATGAAAAGGAACACTTCTACATTGTTAGTGAGAACATAAATTAGTACAACCACTATCAGCATCACCATGGAGATTACTTTGAAAAATCCTAAATGTAGAAATTCCATTTCTCCCAGAATACCCCTCCTGGGTATCTTCCTGAAGGAGTTGAAGTCATTGTATTACAGTGATCCATGCAAACTCATGTGTGTAGCAGCACAATTCACAATAACTAAACAACTGAAACAGCCTGGATGCCTCTGGACAGTGGAATATATAAGGAAAATGTGGTGTATACACATGAGAGAGAGTTGCTCAGCCACAAAGGCAGATAAACTTGAGTCATCTGTCAGAAACTGAATGCACCCTAGGACCTGTTAAGTGAAATAAATCAAACTCAGAAGGTTTACAGTCACGCGCTTTGTCTTATATGAGAAACCCATTTTACAAATAATTTAAAGAGCAAATTAAAGGAAACTCAATGGGAAACAGGGAAGTAGCCCCTGTGAGAAGGAAAAGGGGACCTATGGAGGAAGAGAGTGAGAGGAAACCAACACGATTGATCTGTGACGTGTCTGGACTCATTCCTCAAGGCAAGTGTCACCACCAAACACCATCACATGCAGTAGTAAGATAAAAAAAGAAACCCTGCCAGCCTGACCCTCTACACTGTCAGATGCACCTCCTCACCCCCACGCTACCTCCCTGGCTCCTGTGCCGTTCTGCTCCTCTAGGAGGATCCACCTTCCCCTCCCTCTGTGCTGTCCCCCACAGTCCATGTGTTGAAGACCTGGTCCCTAGTGTGTGGTGCAACTGGGAGATGGTAGAACTTTTAGAATGTGGGACCTACCAGGAGGGTGTTAGGTCATTGAGGGCACCCCCTTTGAAGGGTGCACTGGGACTCTGGCACTTTCTTGTCATGAGATGAGCAGGCCTCCTTAATGATGGGCCACCACCATGATAGAACATGGCACCTCATGCCCAAAGCTAAGGGGCCAAGTAACAGCAGACTGAACCCACTGAAACTAAGGGCCAAAGTACACATTATTGACCTCTGGTAGTTTGTCATAGTGACAAAAAGACTGACTTACACACCCTTCTCTAAGTTGGTGCCAAGACCTGCTGAAGCCTTGGTGATCCCAGTAAAGTAAAAGCCCAGTCATGACTCAGTGCCCTCAAAGGCTGTGGGTTCTGCCTCCTCCTGCAGGGCCCCCACAGTCTGCCCTTCCTCCCTGGGAATCCCTGTCCTTCTGCCTTCCTCAGCCCTAAAACACAGGCTTCATTTTGAGTCCAGATTGATGTCAGCCTCTGAACAATGCCACACACATCTCCCTTCTCCTCTTCCAACTCTACTTCTTAGGAAAACACAGAGCCTACTTTTTCAATACCTTCAACTGTCCCCAAGCATCACTTCTCATGATGTCAGACATGGGCACTGACCCCATTGTCACTGTATTCTATCCCTGCATGCTTTTTCTACAGACATAACTCATCCTCCCATAGGTCTTAATTTATTATTGATTTCTTTTTATTCCTGATGCTCTGATCTCTAAAACAGTGAGTTCTTGATTACAGGGACCAGGCTGCTATGCACTGAGGCATCCCTGACACCCACAAATACACTGGCACATGCTAGAGACTCCCTGTTGGTTACCAAAATAGTCTATGCAGAATGGGCAAACGTCATCCCTCCATAGATCATCCAAGACTTTAATGCACACACTGTGGACTGAATGTAGGGGATGCTGAAAAACACACACGCACACAGACACACAATCACATGCATGCACGAATACTTCATCAGCACTGTAACTCGATCCTGGAGTGTGATCAGTGCTTGGGATAAGGTATGGCGGGAGGAGTCCCAGGACAGGAATGGCCCAGGCAGGCTGGGGTCCAAGAAGGCCTGGTCGGTGGCTGTGGTGAGAGCTTCATAGGGTATGTATGGAGAGGGGGCTCAAAAGGAGAGTCCAGCAGGGCACAGCTCACACAAGGCCTCCAGCCCTGAGATAGTTTTTCTCCTGAAGAGGATCCATGGCAGCTCAGACCGCTCAGGAAGTAAATGACTTCTGTGTCTGTGAACACATCCTGGAGGCTGTTGATGGGAGAGATGAGGAAGGGGTGAAGTGGATTCAGTGGCCGAGGAAGAGCTGAATCCCAGGAAAAACCAGTGGCAGGATGGAGAAAGAGAACTGGCCTGGGTCAGGCATAGCAGGAAAAAGTGATCCATTAGTGATTTGTGGAATGAGGGAGATGACGGAGGTCACAGTGAACACGCCCTCATCCTGCTGTACATTTGGGGACAGTCAGCCATGAGCATCACTGGACTCCTGCAGTGAAACAGCTCAGCATGGTAAAGGGTGGTCACTTATGCATGCTGAGCTGGGAGTTCTGAGGTCATCATGTAGGAGGTGGCTAAAGGGATGTGAGGTGCAGAGGTGACATCACTCACCTGAAAGCTTAACTCATGGCAGCATCCAAGACTATGTTTGGCCTTTCCACCTTCTTCCTTTGGTACCTCATTCTGTGTGGAGAGACCGGAGTTTTTCAGTGTGGGTGTTCTGGGTACAGATTACAGTGGTCACCTTGCCCATGCCCTAGTGAGAAACTGGAAGAGTGACTAACAGAGAGAGGAGAAGAAAGAGTGGAGAGGAGAGGAAGATTCAATTCTCAGACCTTGATGAGACAGGCTCCATATTGGGACATATTTGGAGGAAGAAGAGTTGTCCCCTGTTGAGTTCTTATCACCCACTTAGCCATTGTCTGTGCCCAGATTTCTTGGCCCCTTTGGGTGCCCCAGCAGTGAGGACCTGAAGTTCGGTGGTGGGCAGGCCGGCCTTACCACACCTCCTGTCCATCCATGGTTGAGTTCAAAGTGCTCACCTGAGGAAGGTGAGGCAGAGCCCGAGAAGCAGGATCTTGACAGCCATCTCCACAAGGGTCACCAGCATCACCTCTGCCATGGGCCCTGATTTCCCTGCAGGAAAGTGGAGGAGGCCAGATTCTTCTGCAAAGCACAATCTCAGTCTCTCCTGCACTTGGATATGGATCCTTTAGCCCTCCCCTCAGCTCTGGATAAGAGACCATGTCAGACTGGGCTCCTGTACCCCCAACTCCAACTGTTGTGCAAATGCACAGAGACAACATCATTGCCCTTTTATAAAAAAATTTAAACTTTTGTTCATTCATAGATGATATCAAGAAAGTGAAGAGGCTGCTCTGTGGTACTGGAGAGATAACTGCAAGCCTTGGAGGAAATCAAACAAGTCCTACAGTGTAATGGGATAAAGGTCTGATGTCCAGCACACTGAGAGGACCCTTATACACCAAATGACAGAGAACCCATATGACCCAATTAACAATGCACATAAGATTTGAAAAATATGCCTCTGAGGAGGCTCTACAAATGGCCAATAACTACATGAAGATACTGCCATCCTCTTTAATTTTAGGTCAGTGCTAATCAGAAGGCCAATGAGATGTCCCCTCATGCCCTCCAGCAGGTTATGGATTTGGTGTAAAGGAAAACATAAATGTTGGGAAGATGTGGAGAGCTTTTGAACGGAATGTGGGTGCTTTGAAGGTGGCTGGGGTAGGTAATGTGGGGCCGGCTCTGCAGGAAGCATTCTGTATTTCCTCAAATGTCTCGCTCTGTGCGATGATGGTACCACTCATCTTTCTGCCGGTGGTCCTGTGCCCAGGGGAAATGAAAGCACCTCTCTGCTCAGACAAAACGTTTACACCGATATTCCTAGAAGCAGTATTGATAGCCATCAAAAAGTAGAAACAGCCCTATGGTCCATCACCTGATAAATGGATGAGCAAAATAAGATCTATGCCAACAGTGGCTGTTATTGAGTCTTAGAGAGGAAAGAGTTGCTGACCCATGCTACATAGATGACCCTAAGGATCACTGTGCTACATGGATCAGCCAGACACAGACAGTCATCAGGTAGATGATTCTACTGCTGCCTTATGTCTGGCGTCTGGCATAGACAGCTCCTCAGAGACAGGGTGAGCTGTGATCGTCAGAAGAGGAGAAGAAGGAGTAACTGCTTTGTGCATGTGGGGGCTTTTTGTGCTGGCGGGGTCGGAAAAGTTCTGGAATTTTCATGTGATAGTCTTTTATCTTTGTAAATATAACAAAAGGTCAGGTTTTGTAGAGTTCAAAGCAGTTAGTGTTAAATTGAATATGAGTGAAATTTTTTTCTCAATAAAAACATGGATTCTAAAGTGTAGAGAATTAGTAATTTTACCCAACACTGGCACAGATTGAAAGGGTTCTTTCTCTGTGAGGTTTGGGATGAGCTTTGCTGGTAAACATCAGGCTCAGCCCCAGGTTCAATCTTGGCACCAAAAATCAAAATCAAATCAGACCAAAAGGTCTGGGCACACACATGGTGGGTGGAAATACACCCTCAGCCCGTACTGCTGCAAATGGAACTCACTCACCCTTCGGGGAAAGCCAGAATGGGAAAGAACATGTGGCCAGTCACACTGTTTTCAGGAATTTCCCACCATCCTACAGACACATTTGTGGAAGTAGATGCAAAGCTTTTGCTGTCAGAGTAAAACTAATGCCATGACCTTGCATTGCCAGAAGATGCCTGCAAAGATGGCTCTGTCTGCCCCTTGGCTCCACAGGCACGGAGAAAGGATCCTCTGTGCTCCCAAAATCTGTGACTTCTGCTATCTCTGGGGTTTGGGGTGGGCTGAAGTTCAGCACAGCCCGTGTGGACACTTGTCACTCATGAGAACAGGACTGAGTTTCTGGGGATGACCGCAGTGTGTTAGTGTGTGTTCTGAGTATCAGTGTGTGACTGTACTTCCTTCCAGAAGTATTGAGGTCAGAGCTAAGAGGGGAACAAAAAGAGGAGGGTGGAGGCGGAGCCAGGAAATGAGCAAGGAGCCTAGAAATCCTGCTGGAGCTGTGTTAACATGGATCTGTCTAAGGGAGCCCAGAGGCGGCGCCCAGGAGCCGGCAGGTATATGAACTGAATGGGCAGGAGCTCCAAGAGGCTAATGGGGCTGGGCAGGGGAGGGCTGAAGTCCATCACCAAGGGAACTCTGTCACCAGGCTGTGGCCATGGTAAGGAGAGACCTGGCCCTTCCCTAAGCCCATGGTGTCCTGCCCCTTTCCTGTAGCCCAAAGGAAATTCCTTCCTATCAGAGCTGGCTCCCAGGGAGAATGCGGTTGTAGAGCTCCTTGCAGAACCTGGGACGGGAAGAGAGGGTTTTTCCTTCCTCAGTGGGAGTGAAGAGCAGTCTAATACAGCATTCCCCACCATCATCCCAGAAATCACAGATACACAGAAGGACAGGACCTGTGCCCCCAATTCAACCAGCCATCTGGCACACAGTCACCACAAGTTCTAGGCCTGCCCAGTGACCCCTCTTACTCCCTGGGATCTGGGCTTACTTGTGCAATTCTCACAGGTGATGTTGAGCTGGATCGTCCTCTCCACAGTCACGCCAGCTCCAGGGAACATCACCTGACAGGTGAGGTTGGTGCCGTGGTCCTGGGGACGGGGGCTCAGGGTGAGCACCGAGGAGCTGGTGATTGTGGAATCCAGGTAGGACACAGAGACACCCATCCAGGAGAAAATGGGAGGCGTCCCCTGCTCACAGGCCCAGGGCACAGAGCAGGTCAGGTTGTTGGGACAGCCAGACTCCAGAGTCCCTAGCATGAGGATGTCGGGGATGTGGTACAGGGCTGGTGAGGAGAGGGGACAGTGGGATCAGGAGAGAGGGTCCAAGGTACAACCCCAGGAGAAGCTCAAACTCTGACCCATCCTCTCTGAGCTGTCAGTGCTTGACACTCAACTCCTCCTGGATGGAAACCCATCTCAGCCCTGCCCTGTGGCCACCACTACTGCAGCTAGAGACTTACCTGTGACATACACAGTCACCTGATTCCAATAGAAATTCCTTCTGGAGCTTCCTGGGTTCATGTGAAAGGAGTATAAACCACCATCAGCCCTCTGTGCATCCCTGATGTGCAGGGAGCAGTTCCTGGTCTGTGTGTCCCAGAGGAGGTGGAACCGGTCCTGCGTCTCCTTCTGCACTTGCTGTTGTGGGTTGTTTGTGGCCACTACAGGGTTGGGGAGAGAACCAGACTCCTCCCGGAACCAGGAGCCGGTGAAAGAGCCAGGCATGGAGGGAAAGCGGTGGTAGTAGAACTGGCAGGGCACGAGGACACACAGACCCTCCTGCACCGACACCGACTTTGGCATGTGTAGCCTGTATCTCGGATACCAAGCCAGAGACCCTGCAGGGAGGCAAGAGTCAGTTCCATGCAGAGCCCCCAGCCCCTATCCCTCTACCCACTCACCTGCCCACAGCAGGGGCAGCAGCAGAGGCAGCAGCATGTCAGACGTGGAGGGAGGCTCCTGGGCTCCTGCAGGTGAGCACAGAAGGGAAGAGCAGGGCTGTGGAGCACTGTGGGGCCCAGGGAGGAAAGCTGGGAAGAACAAAAGACCTTAGTATTTCAGGGAACAGAAACTCAGACAACTGCGTGGTCAGTTGTTCCTCTGTGAAGCTGCACAGAACCCCATGACTACTGAGCCCAGAGCCTATGCGGACAGGACCAGGGAAGGAGCAGACACCACATTTGGCTGTTGTCTCGGGCATTTCCTTCTACATCTGGGTCTGGACAGAAATCTGCATCTTGCCCAACAGGCCTTGGGGGCTTCAAGGACTGCCGTTTTGTCTTCACAGGGCCTCTGAGGCCATCTGAGGCACAAGGGATGGTGGCACCAGGTTCTCATTGGCTTTCTTCCCAGACTAAGGAGCTGTAAGTGACCTTTGATTGCAACAGAAAGTCTCCTGACCTGATCAGCATGAAAAAGTCCCAGAGTCACTGTGAACTCTCTTCAACTGGGTGCAATCTCATCTCTCTTGGACAGTTCTCAGTGACTCGAGACACTGAACCTGGTTACACACTGACAAGGGCAGTGGCCAGGGATGCAGCTGAACACCCCACTATGCACAGGACAACCCCCCCAAGAAAGAGTCCTCAAGCTCCATGTGTCTACAATGCCCAGGTCAGAAGAGCGGCAGCTGACCCTAGGGCCAGCCAGAGTCTCCAGGGGTGGAATATTGGAGGCTGCGTGTGATATTTGTGGCATTAAAGATGAGCAGGGTATTGGGTCAACCACTGAAGACATTCATTCATTCATTCATTCATTCATTCACTCATTCATTCATTCTGCTCTGTGCTGGGGCTGATAGCAAATGCCTTAAACTCTCCTCACATCCCTGAGGTGCTCCCCACCTGGGATAGTCAGATAAGCTGCCAGGGAGTGCTCATAAAGCAGTGAGGAAAAAGAAGAGCTGATGGTTCCATTTGGCTCTTTCCCTTTGGGCACACTGAGCAGATGGGACCTGGTCTCTGCCCTCTGGGGACAGAGGGACTATGCTAGCTTTGGGCAGGATGCTTTGCCCAGGCACGGTTCATTAAGGAAGGGAAGGAAGGTTCTTCTTGGCTGCTCCCTGGTCCCTTGGCTGGTAAGGATGCTCCCAGCTGGCTTCAGGTCCTCACCTCCCAGCCGCTTCTCTGACATACAGTCGTGCTGCAACCCAAGTCAGGCCACACCTGTGCACATAACCAGCATGCTTGGTATTCCCAAACTTCTACACTGCATTCCTAAACCCATGATGATGCTCTTCAGTGCTGAGGCCTTTGAGAGTGATCAGGTCATGAAGCAGAGCTCATGGATGGGGTTAATGGCCTTATGAAAAGGTCAGTGCCCAGAGAGCTTTCCTGTCTCTCCCTCTATGAGGGCAGAGTGAGGAGGGGCCCATAGTGAAGGAGGAATAAGGGCTTCACTGGATATGGAATCTGCTGGTGCATCTTTCTGTAGATGAGGTGTCACTGTCTCACACCATCCTCAGGATGCAAATGTCACCCTTGCACTGGGCATTGATACCCAGGAAAAAGACAGCCCCAGGAAGATGCGGCAGCCTGAGTGTGACGGGTAATTTTATGTCAACACACCTGAGCTAAGGTTCCCAGATAATGATAAAGCATTGACTCTGCATTTGTCTATGAGGGTGATCCCAGAAGGAATCAGAGGTTGAACTGGTAGATTCAGTCAAGGAGAGCCAAGAAGGGTAGGAAGTGCCCAATAGGTCAAGGACCTTAGTAGAACTAAAAGATGTAGGAAGAACAAATTTGATGTCTCTGATCGATACAGGACACTCATGTTCTCTTTTGCTTATGCATCAGATTACTTAATCCTTGAGCCACTGGTCTTCCTGGTCCTTCACCCTTTGGGTTTGGATTGGAGCTTACACCAATGTCTCTCTTCAGTCTCCAGCTTGTAGACAGAAGTTCATGGGATTCCTCAGTTTCCAATTGCATGGAGTCCTTCCTAACAAATCTCCTTCATATATCTCTCTACTTCCCATTTTTTGTTTGTTTTTATAACCCCAAAGAATATGCTGGAGTTTCAGAGGGTGCTGGTTTGCCCTCCCAAATGGATAGAGGGAATTAAAGGTTCAGGATGGCTGCAGGGGACACTGTATCAGCAGATGCAAGTGAAACAGGAGACAGGTAAGATGAGAAAGGTCCTCGAGGCAGGGTGACTTGGTGGTGATGGATGGAATTGAAAAACTATGTGTGGATTCCTAGCGTGGGAGAAGCAGGGTTGGGCCCAGGGCAAGCGCATGAGGAGACAGGATGAGCCTGGGGGACGGGAGCCCAGGAGGCAGGCGAGGCAGGGTGGGGTGGGCACAATGAAGAGACCAGAATGGAGTCCAGGGGTGCTGGCAGGGCCCAGGATGCCAGGCTGGGAGACACAGAACAAGACTGAGTAGGAGAGGGGCACTGACTGTGCTGTGACCCAGGGCTCCTCATCCACCCTCAGGAAATGGCCAAGAGGACAGGTTTGCTCCAGAAGAGGGAACCCAGAAAGCATCAGGCTCGGAGTCCCCACACCAGCACTGGTGAGGCCATTTACAGTAAAGATGCCTTTACCACTCACAAAATCTTGAGAGAAACAGCTTCTTATAGAGTTTTCAGAGCTGAAATCAGGCTCAGAATGACTGAGACGATGCAGATTTTGATGTCTGGAGAGGGGCTGGCATGGAAGAGGGTCATAAAGGTAAATGAATGGACACTCGGTGTCTCAGCCACCAGATCAACACCCACAGGAGGTGGAGCTGGACAGTTCCTTCTGGAGAAGGAAGCTCCAGCTGCAAAGGGCACTCACTGGACAGTGGGGACTGGGCCTTGGGTCCAGGGGCCTGGGTGCTGAGTGTATTTCCTTAGATTTTGCATTGGTGATGCTCTGGAATCTGGGTCTTGCTGACCAATAGCTCCCATGATGAATGGTGCCTAGGAGCACTTTTCAGTGCAACTCGGAGCTCATCTCCAATCTTCTGGATCAATCTGGTTGTCACATCCCAGGAAGCCACACATCGCCCTCCCTGATCATCCCAAGTCCAGTACAGATAGCAGGCACAGCCCCTGTGCCCCAGAACACACTGAAGCCTTTTAAAACAGCTAAACATGCTGGCACCTTTCCTGTGGAAGCCATTGCAACACTTCCTGCCTATCTGTCACCTTGCTGTCCCTCACTTCAGGCCTGTGTGGTTTCCTGTGCCCCCTTCTTAGGAACTGAGCAACAGTCCGTCTTTCTAATGGCCAGTGTCTCCTGGTCTGTAGGCCTGGTCATGCCTGGATAATAATAAGCCTATTATTTCACAATGTAATAGACACTCCTGGCTGGGGAGAGTACAGGGAAGTAAGGACGCCCAAGCTCATGGAGGAGGGTGCCCAAGTCCAGGAGGAAGTGAGGTGGGGTCCCTCACCTGCACCACAGGTGCTAGCTGGTACAGGATATGGATTTGGGGGCAGAGCTGATGTGGAGAGAGACAGATAGACAGACAGACAGAACACATACACAGAGCCAGAGAAAGACACATACAGAGAGACAGAGAGTAAGGCAGACAGAGAGATCCTGATTCTATGGAGAAGGGATGTTGTCAGGGCTTGCAAGAAAAACAATTTAATAAGGGACAGATAATTTATAGTATTATTTTATAATAGTCATCCAAAGAGTCAAACAAAAGTTCAGGACATCTGTCCATACACTAAAGAACCTAGAAAGGGCCTGGATCCCACAGCAATGTCCTGCATTAGTCCAGCTGAAGACCTAGAGCCCACGACAATGTCTCATGCAAGTCTGTTTCAGAGATCTGTGCTGGGAAGGCCCAAAGGTCAGTGATGGAAGCTAGAAAGTCTGTGCCAGTGAGATGAAGGATCTATGCCAGTAGGTGGAAGGATCTGTACTGTAGTGAGGAAGCAACACTCAAAGTAAGGACAAGGGCTCCCCTGAAAAGTACCATAGCCATCCTCAGTGACAACAAGGTCCAGAGCTTCTCTGATGATGAGAATAGCCAAGTTCATCTCAGAAAAGAAACTTGACAAGCTCCTCCAGGAGAACCTACAGCAACAGGAAAACTAACAACACCACAAAACCTCTCCAGTTCTCCTTTTTATGCTGTTGGCAGTGATCCTCAGGGGGGCCATCCACACTCAGCATCATGCTGATTCCATACAGCTGGTGTTAAATTGAACAACAGGGGTCAGTCCATCTCAATCCTGCTACCAAAATCTGCATTAGTCAGAAAATCTGTATTACCAGAGAAACAGATGTAACACACGATCTACAAATGTATAAGAAATGACAAGACTGGCTTACAATGGTCAGCCACAGAGTCAGTTGGGGAAGCGTGCAGATGTCTGCTCTCTGGAGGCTCAAGGATTCAATTCAAGGTCTGGAGCTCACTGCAGAGAGCTGTGCAAGGCCGATGGGTCTGCGATGGAAGGCTGAAAAGTCTACATCAGAAGGCTGAAGGATTCCGGGCAGAAGCCAAAGAGTCCAAGCCAAGAGAAGACATCCATGCTGAAGATGAAGACTGGAGCGTCTCAGAAAAACGGACCCTCATCCATCTTTCCTCCTTCCCTTTGGTACTGTCCAGGAGATGAGCCACCCTTGGGTGGCTCCCTGGGATGTAGAATTGCTTAACCGATTTAGTTCAGCTTCTAAACTTCTCAAGTTGACACAGTCAACCACTACAGTGTTTATACTGTTCCAACTAAGGAAACCTAACATGTGACCTCACCCAAGTTCATCAGCTTCTCTGCACTTAAAAGGAACACATCCTGTGCTAATCAAAAGATTGTTTTGTACTCAATAGTATTTTTTGTGTTGCTTTGTGATGAGGACGCTGAGAAATTTACTGATAACAATTTTGAAATGTAAAATACACCATTTAAAAAATTTAAAATGAAAAATGTAAAACAACATAGAATTTCAAAACAAAATAATAGGCGATTAACAATGATTCATATATTGTGTTTTGTCATCTTCAAAGTAGTCGCTCAGATTACAAGACATAGGCATGAAAAAATGACCAAACAGTGAAAGCACAAACCCCTAATGTACTGATCTCCTGAACTTTCTCCTCGTGTCTCACTCTGTCACGCTTGTTCCCACTCCCGAGCCTCTGTCTAGCATTCTTCTCCTCTTGCTTGTAAGATTTTTCAGATTTTACATAAAATGCTGTGTCTCTATGCACAGAATATTTCACATGGCCTAATATCCACTGCTCATCTGTGTCCTGGGAGACACCAGGCTCTCCTTCCTCTCTGGGATGCATAACTGTCCTCCATGCATGTGCTGGTGTACGTAAGTGTTTGTCTTTATGAGTCTTTGCATTGTCACTTTCTGTGAAGCAGCCATCCCTGAATGGTGACATTTAATCAGTTCTGCATGGTGTCTAAGAGAAATGTGTTTGCCCTCCCCTATTTCTGAAGTCAGTTTTCCTGGCCAGATCTAGGGTTCCCGGGGACAATCTCCCCTAGACTCCATGGCCTGGCTTCCCCCTGGCAGCTCTCAGAGTGTTGAGGCTGCTGTGTCCCTTGACTCCTGGCCCTGTCACCCTGTGGTCATGTGGTCACGTGGTCTCTTCCTGCTTCACATGCCTCTCCTCTTCCTCTGGGTCTCCCGAACAAGGACATTGTGACTGCCTTTAGGGGTACACTGGATGATGCAGGATGAATTCTGTTGGTCAAGGAAACTTGCTGGGTCACATATACAAAGATCTTCTCACTAGAAGACTTTGACAGGGTTCAGCGGCGGAGGTCTGGGTTTGTGGGACCCTGTTCTGCCCTCAGAGCCTCCTGGGAGCCTCTGTGCTTGTCCCCTTTCAGCATCTTCCTTTGCTTTCCACGTCCTGGCAGACTAGTGATCTCCTGCTGTGTGACACATATTGAGGGAACAGCGGTCTGGTTCCCTAGGAAAGACAGTGAGGGAGACCAAAAACCATGTGAGCTGAGGCAAAAGTCAATTTTCTCACTCATGTCCCCTCAGGTCATCTGAATATGTGTCTTCTGAGCTAGCAGATTCACTCTATGAAAGGAGGAGCACAGCTATCTGACAGAAGCTCCCTGCGTGGCACCCAGCATCGATGGAGAAGAAGTCTCAGAGTTCCTGCTCTCTCTGGGTCACGTGAGAACGCTGCCTGCTTCCGATCCTGGGGATGCTGCTCTCTGGGAAGCACCATATTCATCCAGGAAAACAATTCCTTGCTCCTGGTTTGAAATGACACTAAGGCGCTCACGTGTTTCATGGCCCAGAGGCTCCTACATGGGGGCGGTTTAGGGTGAGCTCAGTTTCCCCCTGCGCTCTCACGTCCAGTTCACTGCATGTCTGCTGGGAGAATGAGCAGGTGGCTGTGGCGTGTCCTGTGCCGAGGACCCGGTTTCCTTTAATCTCTCCAGACACACAGAGCACTCAGAGTCCTTCATTCCTCGCCACCCACCCACGGGTACAGGAAAGGCCGCACCTTGGCCGGGCCAGCAGGAGGTGGGCAGCCTCACCTCACTCCCAACACCTGCCTCAGGGGTCCCCACTGCTCAGAGAAGCTCCCAAGGTGGGGTCAGGACGTGGCCTCTGCTCCTGCCTGTCCTCTGGGCGGGTCCCTGCGTTTCCACCCACTGTGTAGCGGGACAGCTCCCTCCGGGTGTGGGTCTAAGTTCCTCTTCTGTGAACCCTCAAGGCTCCTGCTCCACCCCGGCTTCTGTGGCTCACACAGCACTTCCCCTGCGCACTGCTCCCTTCTCCACTCATACACAGGGGCCCGGGAACCCCAGCACTGAGATGCTGCTGCCCCTGCTGCTGCTGCTGCTGCTGCTGCTGTGGACAGGGGAGTGGGCACAGGGAGATGGGCACTGGAGGCTGCGAGATGCTGAGCCTCCTTTACCCCCGAGGTGCGGACCTGATAGTCGGAACCTCAGGGTGAAAGTGCCAAGGTCGGTGACTGTGCAGGAGGGTCAGTGTGTCCTCGTGCCCTGCGGACTCCCCCAGTATGCAGTGCCCTCTGGGAATGGCTTTGTCTATGGCTACTGGTTTCAAAAAGGGGCCGATACAGATAAGGACTTCCCAGTGACCACAAACGACCCACAGCAACAAGTGCAGGAGAGGACTCGGGACCGGTTCTACCTCCTGCTGGACCCAAAGACCAGGAACTGCTCCCTGAAGATCACAGATGCACAGAGGGGTGACCATGGCTCATACTTCTTTAAGATGAAGTCAGAAAGTCTAAAGTGGAATTTCTGTGCTGACCAGGTCTCTGTGGAAGTAACAGGTAAGACCTGGGCACAGACACAAGTTATGGGGCCTCTAGAGGTGGCTGGGATGGATGCTGATGGAAGGGATGGGTTCAAGTCTTAGGACTCCAGGAGGGGCTGGGTTTGAGCCTGGGCTTCTCCCAGATCTGTACCTGGGACCCACCTTCATGATCCCACTGTCTCCTCTCCTCTCCAGCCCTGACCCACACCCCTGACATCCTTATCTCGGAGACCCTGGTGCTTGGACGCCCCAGCAACCTTACCTGCTCTGTGTCCTGGGCCTGTAAACAGGGGACACCCCCCATCTTCTCCTGGGTGGGGGCTTCTGTGGCCCACCTGGACCCCACAGTCACCAGGTCCTCGGTGCTCACCCTGAGCCCCTGGCCCCAGGACCACGGCACCAACCTCACCTGTGAGGTGAGGTTCCCTGGAGCTGGTGTGACTGTGCAGAGAACCATCCAGCTCAATGTCACCAGTAAGTGCTATGCTGAATGCATGGGTGCCTGGGTATGTGAAGGCTGGAAGGGCTAGAGTGGACACTCCTGGCTCTGTGTACTGGCGGCTTGGCTGAGTGAGCACCTGGAAGCTTATACTCTGTGGGGTTTCTGGGGTGGGAGTGAGGAGTGCTGCATGATCTCATCCCTCAGCCCCACTCAAGAGTAAAACGAACTCCTTTCTCTTCCTGATGCTTTAAGGGACTTTGCAGTTTGTGTCTCTACAGGAGCTGGCCCATGCAGAGAGAAACCTCCTATCCTGGGGGCAGGGCCTCTCCTGCTAATGAAGGGCTGGGTCCTTCTGCACCCTGGACACACCCCAGTGACTGAGATACTTGCAGCAAACCCAGTGACTGCTCCCCACACACAGCACAGGTTCTTACCCACCCCTTGTTCCCTCAGACACCATGGACAGGGAACCCCCCACCCAGCAGAACCAGACTTTCTGTGTCCTTTTCTTCCATCACCTGGATGCCCCTAGAACATCTGCCTAAGCAGTCATGGAAGGAAACAGAGCCACACAGGCAAACAATCAGAACCCATGGTGGTCGGTCCTCAGAAGCTCAGTCCCTTCCCCGGGAGTGACCCTGAGCACTATGCCTCACTGTGCCCCTGTCTGTCCCCCTGAGGTCAGAGATGTAATGGGAGGTCAGCAGCACAGGTGGTCCTGGTACTTCCTACCTGCAGTGCCCACTGCAGGAAGACCCTGGTGTTGTGGGCGTCTTCTGCCAGTGGAAGGTCAGGGCCCTCATTTCACTGCACCAGCGGAAAGGTTTGATGAAAGGTTTTGTTATCTGTTTTCATGGTGTGAATGTGACAATGAGATGGGGTCCTAAGAGCAAATGGACTGGGATTGCATGTTTCTTCTTGCTCTGATGCATGCGGCCTGGGGTCCTCCAGGTGGGGCACCGTTACACTCCCAGCAGTGAGAGCTGGGAGAGTGTGCATTCCACAACCAAAGAGCCTTACTTAGTGTTGGTTTAGGTTTTGAGTTTTTGGTTCTGTGCATGAACCTGGGGCGGATCACCGAGAATGACCACTGATTCTGCCCTAAGCCCCATGGTGGACTTCTGGATCTTTTCTACCAGCAGGCAAAATTTGGTATCTCTGTATCCTTCTAAATTTTATATCCCTATATTTTCTTGGGATAAAATTCACTAAAGTTAAATTCAACACTATCCATTTACCCACCACACTTGTAGTGAGGTACAGCCATCAGAGCTATGTAATTTCAGAGCATTCATCACCCCAGAAAAAACCCCGCACCCCAAAGCAGGCCTTCTCTTCTGGTCATGACTGGCCTCCTCCTCTAAGCCTTTGCCTGTCCTTGACATATCAGAGACTGAGTCACATAAACTGTCATCTCTTGTGCTTGGCTACTTCCCCTAGCACATGTTTTCCAGATTTACCTGTGCAGCCAGTATGAGAGCTTCCTGTCTTTCCAAGTTTCAATAACATCCCCATGTCAGGGCATGACACATTTGGCTCAACTATTTATCATGTGACGGATGCTGGGGTTGAGTCCACTTTTAACTACTATATTTAATCCTGCTAGGAAGAAATTCATCTGTGTGTGTGTTTTCATTTTCCTCAGATACATATCAAGGAGTAGAATTACAAAGAGACTATAAGTCAGACCCCAATCTTTGGGTATTATGCTGTAGATATTAATTTTTGGATATTGTGATTCAGACAGTAATTTTTTTAGAAATGTGGACTGTACCCCCCCCCAGTGTCAGTACAGCCTTCTATTCCCATCAGCCCTGTGCAAAAGCTCCAAGTCTCCATGCTTTTTGCAACATAATTTTTTAAAAATTTTATTTGAAGAAAGACTAAACAAAACAGAAAACGGGTAGAAATAATACATACTTTCAAAGAAAAGATAAACAGTAAGAAGTCATTAGTTGATAATTACAGACTGTTCTCTTACAAATAGTTGTTCAAGTTACAAAAGTGAAGCATACAAAGTGGACATTCAAACAGCGAGACTGCAAACAGTTCTGTTCAACTATCCAACAAAAACTTAATAATATGGATATCAATCCTATACACTTAAACATACATGCAGTTATCCATATCTTCACTTACGTTGAGATTAAACAAACCATACAAGGCTAAAATCACTCTGAACAAAGAATAATAGTATCTCTGGATTTCACACCATGACACTCCAGGATCAGCACTGGGTACTGATCTCTTTTTCTTCAAAGTATTTGTTCATTTCATCATGCACTATAAGATCAGTTCTCATAAACTGTTTATAGGTTCTATGCATGCACGAGTCCCAACATGTATTTCTATCCTTTGTATATTAGAGGGAGAAACAAAACAAAGCAAAACAAAACCAAACATTTTCCTAGGAACAAAGAGTTACACTGTTTTTACTAATGTATAAACTTTGTCTTCTTAAAAATTAATTGAAACTTTGTCTCAGTTTAGGAATACACAATGATGACATTCACCATAAGTAGTTTATAACTGTACATGATATATTGAAGAGACGAAGAAAGCTCGTTCCATCTGCTGCTTCCCCTCCCCTTCTCCCTTCAAATCCAACTAGGTTAAGTTTTAACTTCCTAAAGGCCATAAAACAAAGGCCTGAGGTACTAGCTCCTGACATCCTGGGTCTTCCCTATCCGGTAGCCCCGTCACAAATTGTGTTAATTGCATCAGATTGTATTAGATTGTACATTCTTCACAGAAATAGCTTCGTTTATATCATAGTAATACCTGTAACTGTAAATGTGTGTCTTCCTTTTCCCCTGGGTAAAAGATTGATATGTTAATCAATGCTCTCTTCTGTAAAGAATTGTAAAATCTTACCCAATTGATATGTTAACCATTGTTGCCCTCTACAAATAGAAAGGTTGTGGTGCTAAAGTAAGGTAATTATGTCAGGAAACTCAGAGATAAAGTCTGCTGACTATGCTAATCAAGATTGGGAAGTATGTCAGAACCAAGCCACACAGGAGCTAGGTGACCTAAAAATAAGCTGTGCAAAACAAGACAGTTAATCAACTCTGACCCACTGGTCGCCCCTCATGATCTGACCAATCACAAATGGACAAATCACCAACTGTTCTGCTCTAACTGCTATGATTGGCTTCTGTAACAATGCTTGCTTGCTTTGCGGTTTTCATCCTTAAAAACACCAGCCTTGCCCCAACTCAGGGTTCTCCGTTTCCACCTGTTTGGAGGACCCCGCGTACACGGAATAATAAAAACCCCATTGTTTTTACATGAGAGCGAGGCCCTTGGAGTCTTCCTCGCGACACCGGTCTAACATTTTGGAGGCCCCAGCGAGATCAAACTGAGAAGAGACCTCCTCGCAGAGGGAGACCCCAACGGCACCTCTCTGGGGTAAGTAGTACGGCCAGTTTTTGTTTACTTTCATTTTGGATCGATCCGCCATTTCCTTTCGCCCCAGGCCGAACTCCGGCTCTACTTCACGGGCAAATTCTGTTCTTGGGTGATCGGGGGACGCCCCACACGGTTTTCCGTGACTCACCGTCTGCGATAGGATTTTCCTATTGATCTGGGGAATTTCATTCCCAATCTGTGGTCCGTCTGGGCCAATCTGGGGAATTTCATTCCCAATCTGTGGTCCGTCTGGGCCAATCTGGGGAATTTCATTCCCAATCTGTGGTCCGTCCGGGCCAATCTGGAGGCACCCCTTAAGGTGACTCGTTTGATGTGAAACTAATGCGTGAGAGTGAGGTGGCCGGCCTGTTTGTCCTGTGTGTTGTGACTGTTGTGATCGGTTATTTGTTGTGTCGCGCGTACGCTAACCACTCTTTGTCTTCAGAACACCATGGGACAAATGACATCGTCCCCATTGTCCCTCACCCTCGACCATTGGTCGGAGGTTCGAGAGAGGGCTCACAATCTCTCCTTTCAGGTTAAAAAAAGTAAATGGCAGACTTTCTGCTCGTCTGAGTGGCCCACATTCTCCGTGGATTGGCCACCGGAGGGGACTTTCCACCTTCCCCTCATCTTAGCAGTTAAAAACATCATCTTCCGCCCTGGATGAGAGAGCCACCCCAACTGGGTCACCTACATCTTGGTATGGCAGGACCTCAGGGAGAAGCCCCCACCGTGGGTAAAACCCTTCCTTCCTCCGCCCTCTCCTTGGTTGCCTGTTTAAACTTGTTACTAACTTAGGGGCTTGTTGCCCATTTCTGTTGCAGGATCCATATGGCTTATTAGATTCAAGGTTCATGATAAGAAAAATTATTTCCTTTAGCTGACCAAACTATGCAAGAAGCTCCCTTTGTTTGTGTCTTTAATGTTGTGGCACCTTGTTTAATATGTAAGACTTCAATTGATTGCTTGCAACCTCGGCATGCCTTTTAAAAGGAGTATTTTTTCTCTCTGGTGAAAATGTAAACATGTGCACATATATATGTATATCTATGGTTGTTAAGAGTCATGTCAACTTTGCCAAGTAAAAACCAGGCGGTACTATATTTGAGCCAGTTAAAAGGTTACAGTTTTGTTTTTAAAATACAACATTTTTATGTGGTAAAAAAACATAAAATAAGTATGTTTTGGACTACTAAAAGGTGACTTCAAGGGTTTTGTTGAGAGTTTTGATGTTGTCTGAGAAATGAAAAAAAAAGGTAATTGACTGGTAATAGTAAAAAGAGGGACAAAGAGAGTGGTCTTCAAGTAAAGGTGTCTGGCTATGCCAGAATGTAGAAAAAGATTAAAGCTTAGTTTGAGAGGTATTATTGTAAGTTGTAGAAGGCTCAAGAGGATGTAAATTTTATTTGTCTTGGTTTATAGTACTACAAATAACAGGTTTGACAAAAAGTAAATGTGTTCAAAATTTGACAGTATTAGATCAGTTTTGGTAAAAGTATACATAAGATTGTACTTTGCTGCAAAATGTTTTCATTAAAATGAGATTATAGGTGATATTAAAAATAAGATACAAGTTCTTACATGTGCTGTGAACATCTGGGAGATTATACAGCACAATTTTGTTACCTATGAAAAAGCCCTTTTTGTTAAGAATATAATTTTAATAAAATAATGGCCTGTCACGTGACACCCTTGGACAAAAAACAGTGTGCCATCCAGATGAAGCCGGCTCTCTGATCCGGAATGCCAAAACCATGTTCTCCTTTTGTGCCACCCTGACTGGACATCCAGAGGTAAGGAGGTTTCCCAATATTGCCAGTTGTTCTCTTTGTAACTCAGTCGGCCCCACATGTTAGACAAAAATTACAAAGGTTTGAGAGGTTTAAGAAAATGCCCCTCAGCCAGTTAATAGAGATAGCACAAAAAGGTCTTTGAGAACTAAAAAATTTACAAAAAGATAGCCAAGATGTTAAAATTGCTCTATGAAAAAAAAACTTTTAAAAAACAGACGAGAGTTTCTGGGGGCAGTTGGATACTGTAGGCTAAATTTTACTGAAAAGCTTGCCTCTATATGACTGACTCCCATAAGGGAGAAACTCAAAATTCGCTGAACTGGACTGATAAATGTAAACAGGCCTTCCAACAGCTCAAGCGGGCCTTGACAGAGGCCCCAGCCCTGGGACTCCCTGACGTTACCAAGCCTTTCATCTTGTTCATAGATAAACTCAGGGACATTGCCAAAAGAGTCCTAACTCAGGACATTGGCCCTTAAAAAAGGCCTATAGCCTACCTCTCCAAAAGACTTGATCCAGTAACAGGAGTATGGCCCCCTGCCTAAGAATACTAGCTACTGTGACAATGTTACTTAAGGAGACAAAGAAACTCGCTTTGGGCAAGTGATTTCTGTGGTAACCTCTCACAGTTTAGAGACTCTTATCAAAACCCCTCCTAAAAAAAGGCTCTCAAATGCCAGAATTCTACTGTCAAGCCCTGCTTCTAGACCCAGAGTTAATGATATTCAAGACTTCTTCAGCTTTAAACCCAGCCACCCTTATGCCTGATGATGATCCGGAGGAACAAAGGACACCTCTCCATGAGTGTGCTGACATCCTCGAACTGCAGCAGAACCTACAGGCTGATCTTACTGACCAGCTTTTGGGAAATGCCGACAACTGTTCGATGGAAGCAGCTTCATCCAAAACGGCAAACGAGTGGCCGGGGCAGCAGTGACCGCCAAAAAGGAGGTACTCTGGGTTAAGCGGGTAGAGTCTGGCACTTCTGCCCAAAAGGCGGAGCTTGTTGCTTTGACTGAGAGGCTAAAACTAGCCACAAAAAAGAGGATAAACATTTTTTTTACTGAAGACATCCCTTTGCTACTGTACATATACGGGAAAGCCATCTAAAAATGCTCCACAGATTCTAGATTTGCTGGCAGCTGTCTGGCTGCCTCAATGGGTTGCTATTCCTTACAAGGCTCACCCAACCAGAGATGAAAAATAGCAACCACATCAGAGGGGTCAACCAAGAAAGTAACTGCTCTGATACTAGTCCTCTGACCTTGTCAGAACTAGTCTACACAAAGAAAGACCTACAGTTGGCATCTCAACTTGGAATAAAGTCTCCCACCCCAAGGGGCTAATACCAGTTACCTAATAAACAAGTACTGTTACTGGAGGCACTAGGGTGGGAGCTGTTTCACCTTGCAGAATTGTTCAGAACTCAGTATTTTATTCCAAAACTCTACAAACTGACCACCTCTTTGAGCTCCAGATGCCCACAGTGCTTGTTAGTCAACTCAGCCAAGAGCTCTGCGTTGGAGACCACCCGACATCAAGAAATTGTTCCAGGAGAACATTGGGAAATAGACTTCATAGACATGGTAAAACTTAATTTACAGGGACACCGCTATCTCTTGATATTAATAAACACTTTTACTGGCTGGGTAGAGGCTTTCCCTACTAAATCTGAGTCAGCCTTAGTGGTAGTTAAAAGGCTATTACATGAGATCATACCTTAATTTGGCCTCCCACTATCAATGGGGTCCGATAATGGCCTGGCTTTCATAGCCCGAGTCACCCAAAAGTTAGCCCAGACATTAAAGATTAATTAAAACTCCACTGTGCCTATCAGCCACAAAGCTCAGGGCAAGTAAAACGTATGAACCAAAGTCTCAAGGACATTTTAGCTAAGCTGTCTTCAAAAACTGGCGATAATTGGATGAGCCTTCTTCCCTTTGCACTGTTAAGAGCTAGATATACCCCATATGTTTCTAGAATTTCCCCCTTTAAAGCCATGTTTGGGAGGCCCCCGCCATTGGTTCCAAGATTGTCAGAAGACAAATTAGCTGAAATTACTAATCGAGATCTTAAGTTCCTACAGACACTCCAACCTGTGTTGGCCTGGATCCACCAGCTGTTTAGACAAAAACACTTGGACCTGCCTTCAGAGACCAAGGCCTCAGGGACTCCAGTCTTGGTTCGATGTCACCACCATGACTCCCTCAAATCCTGCTGGGAAAGACCTTTCACCGTGGTGCTCAGTACCCCCACTGCCATCAAGGTAGCAGGAAAAACTGCGCGGATTCACTACACTCATGTAAAGCCACTGGAAACAGCAGACAACGAGGGACATACTCAGTGGACTACACAACAGACTGGTAACCCTTAAAGTTAAAAATTGACTAAAACATAGTTAGATTATGCTGGTCATGAACTGTTTTAGCTTGCTTGTTTTGATTTTAATTAATTAACATTAATGCTGACCTTACATGGCGGCTTTGGTCCCCCTGTAAAAAAAAAAAAACAATTGTTAAAGATCTTTGTATGGGAGCCCCCTTTAAAAAATGTAAAACGGAATTCTCCCCTATCTCCTTCCCTTAATAAGACCATTAGTGACCTTAATCCTAATCCTAGCCATTGTCCCTTGCCTCATTAACTGAATTACCCAATTCATAAGGGGACAAGTCTCTCAGGTCAAATTAATGGTCATACGTCACCAATATAAACCCCTAGCTACAACAAACCTCTAAGATTAGAGGTCATCCCCCCCCCAAAAAAAGGGGGGAATGAAGAGACGAAGAAAGCTCGTTCCATCTGCTGCTTCCCCTCCCCTTCTCCCTTCAAATCCAACTAGGTTAAGTTTTAACTTCCTAAAGGCCATAAAACAAAGGCCTGAGGTACTAGCTCCTGACATCCTGGGTCTTCCCTATCCGGTAGCCCCGTCACAAATTGTGTTAATTGCATCAGATTGTATTAGATTGTACATTCTTCACAGAAATAGCTTCGTTTATATCATAGTAATACCTGTAACTGTAAATGTGTGTCTTCCTTTTCCCCTGGGTAAAAGATTGATATGTTAATCAATGCTCTCTTCTGTAAAGAATTGTAAAATCTTACCCAATTGATATGTTAACCATTGTTGCCCTCTACAAATAGAAAGGTTGTGGTGCTAAAGTAAGGTAATTATGTCAGGAAACTCAGAGATAAAGTCTGCTGACTATGCTAATCAAGATTGGGAAGTATGTCAGAACCAAGCCACACAGGAGCTAGGTGACCTAAAAATAAGCTGTGCAAAACAAGACAGTTAATCAACTCTGACCCACTGGTCGCCCCTCATGATCTGACCAATCACAAATGGACAAATCACCAACTGTTCTGCTCTAACTGCTATGATTGGCTTCTGTAACAATGCTTGCTTGCTTTGCGGTTTTCATCCTTAAAAACACCAGCCTTGCCCCAACTCAGGGTTCTCCGTTTCCACCTGTTTGGAGGACCCCGCGTACACGGAATAATAAAAACCCCATTGTTTTTACATGAGAGCGAGGCCCTTGGAGTCTTCCTCGCGACACCGGTCTAACATTTTGGAGGCCCCAGCGAGATCAAACTGAGAAGAGACCTCCTCGCAGAGGGAGACCCCAACGGCACCTCTCTGGGGTAAGTAGTACGGCCAGTTTTTGTTTACTTTCATTTTGGATCGATCCGCCATTTCCTTTCGCCCCAGGCCGAACTCCGGCTCTACTTCACGGGCAAATTCTGTTCTTGGGTGATCGGGGGACGCCCCACACGGTTTTCCGTGACTCACCGTCTGCGATAGGATTTTCCTATTGATCTGGGGAATTTCATTCCCAATCTGTGGTCCGTCTGGGCCAATCTGGGGAATTTCATTCCCAATCTGTGGTCCGTCTGGGCCAATCTGGGGAATTTCATTCCCAATCTGTGGTCCGTCCGGGCCAATCTGGAGGCACCCCTTAAGGTGACTCGTTTGATGTGAAACTAATGCGTGAGAGTGAGGTGGCCGGCCTGTTTGTCCTGTGTGTTGTGACTGTTGTGATCGGTTATTTGTTGTGTCGCGCGTACGCTAACCACTCTTTGTCTTCAGAACACCATGGGACAAATGACATCGTCCCCATTGTCCCTCACCCTCGACCATTGGTCGGAGGTTCGAGAGAGGGCTCACAATCTCTCCTTTCAGGTTAAAAAAAGTAAATGGCAGACTTTCTGCTCGTCTGAGTGGCCCACATTCTCCGTGGATTGGCCACCGGAGGGGACTTTCCACCTTCCCCTCATCTTAGCAGTTAAAAACATCATCTTCCGCCCTGGATGAGAGAGCCACCCCAACTGGGTCACCTACATCTTGGTATGGCAGGACCTCAGGGAGAAGCCCCCACCGTGGGTAAAACCCTTCCTTCCTCCGCCCTCTCCTTGGTTGCCTGTTTAAACTTGTTACTAACTTAGGGGCTTGTTGCCCATTTCTGTTGCAGGATCCATATGGCTTATTAGATTCAAGGTTCATGATAAGAAAAATTATTTCCTTTAGCTGACCAAACTATGCAAGAAGCTCCCTTTGTTTGTGTCTTTAATGTTGTGGCACCTTGTTTAATATGTAAGACTTCAATTGATTGCTTGCAACCTCGGCATGCCTTTTAAAAGGAGTATTTTTTCTCTCTGGTGAAAATGTAAACATGTGCACATATATATGTATATCTATGGTTGTTAAGAGTCATGTCAACTTTGCCAAGTAAAAACCAGGCGGTACTATATTTGAGCCAGTTAAAAGGTTACAGTTTTGTTTTTAAAATACAACATTTTTATGTGGTAAAAAAACATAAAATAAGTATGTTTTGGACTACTAAAAGGTGACTTCAAGGGTTTTGTTGAGAGTTTTGATGTTGTCTGAGAAATGAAAAAAAAAGGTAATTGACTGGTAATAGTAAAAAGAGGGACAAAGAGAGTGGTCTTCAAGTAAAGGTGTCTGGCTATGCCAGAATGTAGAAAAAGATTAAAGCTTAGTTTGAGAGGTATTATTGTAAGTTGTAGAAGGCTCAAGAGGATGTAAATTTTATTTGTCTTGGTTTATAGTACTACAAATAACAGGTTTGACAAAAAGTAAATGTGTTCAAAATTTGACAGTATTAGATCAGTTTTGGTAAAAGTATACATAAGATTGTACTTTGCTGCAAAATGTTTTCATTAAAATGAGATTATAGGTGATATTAAAAATAAGATACAAGTTCTTACATGTGCTGTGAACATCTGGGAGATTATACAGCACAATTTTGTTACCTATGAAAAAGCCCTTTTTGTTAAGAATATAATTTTAATAAAATAATGGCCTGTCACGTGACACCCTTGGACAAAAAACAGTGTGCCATCCAGATGAAGCCGGCTCTCTGATCCGGAATGCCAAAACCATGTTCTCCTTTTGTGCCACCCTGACTGGACATCCAGAGGTAAGGAGGTTTCCCAATATTGCCAGTTGTTCTCTTTGTAACTCAGTCGGCCCCACATGTTAGACAAAAATTACAAAGGTTTGAGAGGTTTAAGAAAATGCCCCTCAGCCAGTTAATAGAGATAGCACAAAAAGGTCTTTGAGAACTAAAAAATTTACAAAAAGATAGCCAAGATGTTAAAATTGCTCTATGAAAAAAAAACTTTTAAAAAACAGACGAGAGTTTCTGGGGGCAGTTGGATACTGTAGGCTAAATTTTACTGAAAAGCTTGCCTCTATATGACTGACTCCCATAAGGGAGAAACTCAAAATTCGCTGAACTGGACTGATAAATGTAAACAGGCCTTCCAACAGCTCAAGCGGGCCTTGACAGAGGCCCCAGCCCTGGGACTCCCTGACGTTACCAAGCCTTTCATCTTGTTCATAGATAAACTCAGGGACATTGCCAAAAGAGTCCTAACTCAGGACATTGGCCCTTAAAAAAGGCCTATAGCCTACCTCTCCAAAAGACTTGATCCAGTAACAGGAGTATGGCCCCCTGCCTAAGAATACTAGCTACTGTGACAATGTTACTTAAGGAGACAAAGAAACTCGCTTTGGGCAAGTGATTTCTGTGGTAACCTCTCACAGTTTAGAGACTCTTATCAAAACCCCTCCTAAAAAAAGGCTCTCAAATGCCAGAATTCTACTGTCAAGCCCTGCTTCTAGACCCAGAGTTAATGATATTCAAGACTTCTTCAGCTTTAAACCCAGCCACCCTTATGCCTGATGATGATCCGGAGGAACAAAGGACACCTCTCCATGAGTGTGCTGACATCCTCGAACTGCAGCAGAACCTACAGGCTGATCTTACTGACCAGCTTTTGGGAAATGCCGACAACTGTTCGATGGAAGCAGCTTCATCCAAAACGGCAAACGAGTGGCCGGGGCAGCAGTGACCGCCAAAAAGGAGGTACTCTGGGTTAAGCGGGTAGAGTCTGGCACTTCTGCCCAAAAGGCGGAGCTTGTTGCTTTGACTGAGAGGCTAAAACTAGCCACAAAAAAGAGGATAAACATTTTTTTTACTGAAGACATCCCTTTGCTACTGTACATATACGGGAAAGCCATCTAAAAATGCTCCACAGATTCTAGATTTGCTGGCAGCTGTCTGGCTGCCTCAATGGGTTGCTATTCCTTACAAGGCTCACCCAACCAGAGATGAAAAATAGCAACCACATCAGAGGGGTCAACCAAGAAAGTAACTGCTCTGATACTAGTCCTCTGACCTTGTCAGAACTAGTCTACACAAAGAAAGACCTACAGTTGGCATCTCAACTTGGAATAAAGTCTCCCACCCCAAGGGGCTAATACCAGTTACCTAATAAACAAGTACTGTTACTGGAGGCACTAGGGTGGGAGCTGTTTCACCTTGCAGAATTGTTCAGAACTCAGTATTTTATTCCAAAACTCTACAAACTGACCACCTCTTTGAGCTCCAGATGCCCACAGTGCTTGTTAGTCAACTCAGCCAAGAGCTCTGCGTTGGAGACCACCCGACATCAAGAAATTGTTCCAGGAGAACATTGGGAAATAGACTTCATAGACATGGTAAAACTTAATTTACAGGGACACCGCTATCTCTTGATATTAATAAACACTTTTACTGGCTGGGTAGAGGCTTTCCCTACTAAATCTGAGTCAGCCTTAGTGGTAGTTAAAAGGCTATTACATGAGATCATACCTTAATTTGGCCTCCCACTATCAATGGGGTCCGATAATGGCCTGGCTTTCATAGCCCGAGTCACCCAAAAGTTAGCCCAGACATTAAAGATTAATTAAAACTCCACTGTGCCTATCAGCCACAAAGCTCAGGGCAAGTAAAACGTATGAACCAAAGTCTCAAGGACATTTTAGCTAAGCTGTCTTCAAAAACTGGCGATAATTGGATGAGCCTTCTTCCCTTTGCACTGTTAAGAGCTAGATATACCCCATATGTTTCTAGAATTTCCCCCTTTAAAGCCATGTTTGGGAGGCCCCCGCCATTGGTTCCAAGATTGTCAGAAGACAAATTAGCTGAAATTACTAATCGAGATCTTAAGTTCCTACAGACACTCCAACCTGTGTTGGCCTGGATCCACCAGCTGTTTAGACAAAAACACTTGGACCTGCCTTCAGAGACCAAGGCCTCAGGGACTCCAGTCTTGGTTCGATGTCACCACCATGACTCCCTCAAATCCTGCTGGGAAAGACCTTTCACCGTGGTGCTCAGTACCCCCACTGCCATCAAGGTAGCAGGAAAAACTGCGCGGATTCACTACACTCATGTAAAGCCACTGGAAACAGCAGACAACGAGGGACATACTCAGTGGACTACACAACAGACTGGTAACCCTTAAAGTTAAAAATTGACTAAAACATAGTTAGATTATGCTGGTCATGAACTGTTTTAGCTTGCTTGTTTTGATTTTAATTAATTAACATTAATGCTGACCTTACATGGCGGCTTTGGTCCCCCTGTAAAAAAAAAAAAACAATTGTTAAAGATCTTTGTATGGGAGCCCCCTTTAAAAAATGTAAAACGGAATTCTCCCCTATCTCCTTCCCTTAATAAGACCATTAGTGACCTTAATCCTAATCCTAGCCATTGTCCCTTGCCTCATTAACTGAATTACCCAATTCATAAGGGGACAAGTCTCTCAGGTCAAATTAATGGTCATACGTCACCAATATAAACCCCTAGCTACAACAAACCTCTAAGATTAGAGGTCATCCCCCCCCCAAAAAAAGGGGGGAATGAAGAGACGAAGAAAGCTCGTTCCATCTGCTGCTTCCCCTCCCCTTCTCCCTTCAAATCCAACTAGGTTAAGTTTTAACTTCCTAAAGGCCATAAAACAAAGGCCTGAGGTACTAGCTCCTGACATCCTGGGTCTTCCCTATCCGGTAGCCCCGTCACAAATTGTGTTAATTGCATCAGATTGTATTAGATTGTACATTCTTCACAGAAATAGCTTCGTTTATATCATAGTAATACCTGTAACTGTAAATGTGTGTCTTCCTTTTCCCCTGGGTAAAAGATTGATATGTTAATCAATGCTCTCTTCTGTAAAGAATTGTAAAATCTTACCCAATTGATATGTTAACCATTGTTGCCCTCTACAAATAGAAAGGTTGTGGTGCTAAAGTAAGGTAATTATGTCAGGAAACTCAGAGATAAAGTCTGCTGACTATGCTAATCAAGATTGGGAAGTATGTCAGAACCAAGCCACACAGGAGCTAGGTGACCTAAAAATAAGCTGTGCAAAACAAGACAGTTAATCAACTCTGACCCACTGGTCGCCCCTCATGATCTGACCAATCACAAATGGACAAATCACCAACTGTTCTGCTCTAACTGCTATGATTGGCTTCTGTAACAATGCTTGCTTGCTTTGCGGTTTTCATCCTTAAAAACACCAGCCTTGCCCCAACTCAGGGTTCTCCGTTTCCACCTGTTTGGAGGACCCCGCGTACACGGAATAATAAAAACCCCATTGTTTTTACATGAGAGCGAGGCCCTTGGAGTCTTCCTCGCGACACCGGTCTAACAATATCTTGATTCTTCTTTCTGTTTTCTCATTCCTCTCCCCTCCTTTAAACCCGTCGCCTCTTCTTATGTACCAAAGCTTTGTTTTCATTTTTCCTTCTTCTCAGTTTGTTTTTCTTTCCTTCCTTGCCCCCTCCCACCCCCTAGTTTCTTGTCTTTTTTTTTATTTTAAAGAGGAAAACAACAAGGAAAATAAAACAATAAAATCAATCAAAATAAACCAGAATAAGTGACACAGAACTTCCAAACCTTATGAAATCAACAATAGTTACCACAATGCCTTTGTTTCTTCAAAATAGCTGCAGATAGCACCTTCGGGCATGTTAAAATCAAACAGAACGGAATAGAATAGAAACAGTAAAAACAAAACAATGAATGCAGTAAAGGACATCAAAACAAGCCAGTAGTAAATACATAATGGCTTCCATAACATGTCTTGCTGTCTTTTAAATAGCTGCTCATGCCATCGGAGTTAACATAAACAAAACAAAAGAAAATAAAGCTCAATTTCTTCCCCCCTAAAAAACTAGTGACAATGATATGGTTTCTGGGCAGGGATCTCTTCCCATGGAGCCTGGTTCTCTCCCTCCTCAGTCCATGAATGGCGCTGACTCACAGAGAGAGTCTTGGGTTTGGTTCTCTCCAGGCTGGCAGCAGCCAGACATTCTAGCTTCTTTTCCCATTTGAATATTTGCTTTGAATTTCACAGTATCTATTACATATTTTGATCCTCATTTACACTTTCAGTTTCTCACACCAGGTAAACAATTGGATATTTAGGAAGATGTGTTTGCTTCATTTCACTTAAGAATATGGTCTCAAGGTGCACCCTTTTACCTAGAAATGTCTCAAGTTTATCCTTCTTTGTGGTTTAGTAGTACTCCATTGTATAAAATAACCACATCTCTGTCCATTTATCGGTTGATGGGCAATTGGGCTGTTTTCAAGATCTAGACATGACAAACTATGTTGCTATAAACATGGGTGTGCATATGTCACTGTGCTTTGAAGTTTTTAATTCTTTTGGGAAAATAATCAAGAAGAATAACTGGGTCACGTGGAACCTCTAGTTTTTGTTTTTGGGAAATCTCCACATATTTCTATAGCAGTTGCAACAGTCTAACTCCCACCAAGAGTGGATAGGGATAGCATGATACTGCAAAAAACAGACCTGAGGATGAATGGAATGATTTAGAAGATACAGAAACAGCTCCAAACACACTCAGTCATCTTATCTTTAACAAAAGGGCCAAAGCCTTTCCCTGGAAGAAAGACAGCCTCTTCAATAAATGGTGCTAGAAAAATAGGCTTGCCAGATGCCGAAGACTAAAATTAGACCCAGATCTATCACCATGCCCTAAACTAAAGTGAAAATGGATCAAAGATCTAAATACTACAACAAAAACACTAAATCTGCTATAAGAGATAGAAATCTTGAAGACACTGGTGCAGCCAAAAGCATTATAAACAAAACCCTGATTTTCATGAGAAATATACAAAGAATCAACAATTAATATATCATTTTATTATATATGATTTTATTGTTTTTCATGAGAAATATACAAAGAATCAACAATTAATATATCATTTTATTAAAAAGCTTTTGCACAGCAAAAGAAACAGTTAAAAGACAGCCCACAGACTGGGACTAAATTTGTGTCAGCTCTTCCTCAGACAGAGATCTAATGTCTAGTGTATACGAAGAACTCAAAACAGCTAGGGGGCCAGTTTTAAAGACCCAAGCCAAAAATGGACAACTGAAATGAACACATCTTTGCAGATGAAGTACAAATGGCAAAATGTTCAACATCACTGGTCATTCAAGAGATACAAATTATGACAATGCTGAGCTTCCATCTCCCTGCAGAAAGAATGGCTACCAGCAAGAAATTAACAATAATAAATGCTGGTGGGGTTGTGGGGAGAAAAGGAGTTGAATTTTTGACAAGGTAAGTTATATTGTCTCCGTGCACCTCAAGGACAGTTGAAGTGTGGAATGGGACAGAGACAAAGACTGATTCTCTTCAAGGGCAAAGGTGACAAAAATGCCTGCAATGTTGTCACCTTTGAAAGAAGGCCTACCTCACTTTCCTGCAGAGAAATCGGAGCCCATGGCACAGGTGGTGCTGGTGGCCATCATGGAGGTGGCAGTTAAGATCCTGCTTCTCGGGCTTTGCCTCATCTTCCTTAGGTGAGTACTGCATGGGGCTGGAGGAGGAGCAGGGTACTCAGCACTGAACTCTGGGTTGTTAGTGCTCGGGGACCCAAGAAGGTCAAGAGGGCTGGGACTAGGCAGGGACTGAGTGGATGCCAGGAACTGGACAAAAAGACAATTGCTATCTGTCCTCAGCTCTGACCAAACATGGGAATGTAGCTGGTCCCATCTGGAGGTCCGGGAGCTAATGTTCCTCCCTCTTTCTACCAACCCTCCAGGCCCTTGGCAGGGCACATGTTAGTTGACTTTGGCCACTGCACACCCAGTGTCCCCACTGAAAGTTTCTGATCTCTTCACTTAGAGTGATGGCTCACAGAGAGAAGGTGGAAAGCCCAGCAGCAAACATGGATGGTGTCACAGATTAGTCTCTGGGGTAAGAGATGTGACATGATAGCATACGTCCCCCTGAGAATCTCCTTCATGGTGCCTCTGGATGCTTGTCTCAGTCACAGTTGAGCCACTTATCACCACTCTGAGCCCATGTGCCCTGTGTGGGTCCCTCATGATCATCCTGAGACCATGTGCCCTGCCTGAGTTCCCATGATGTCCATGGTTCAGTGACCCAATTTGCAGCCAGGATCAGTGTATGGTTGACCAATGTGACCTATTTTAATTGGTCTTACCCCACAATTATTAACTGGTATTTCCTCTCTCCACAGACTGGACTCCCCTGATCACCCTGATTCCCTTTGCCCTTCTTGATGCTGGTCCTTCTGGGACTCCATCTTTTCCAAGATCACTCAGTTGATCTCACTCCTGCCTCATCTCTCCTAACATCAGCCTCCAGGATGTGTTTGCAGAAACAGTCAACATCCACTGCCTGCATGGTCTGAACAGTTGTGTGTCTTCTGCATAGACAGAGAGAAGGACAAAACTACATCCGAACTGGAGTCCTTGCATGATCTCTGCCTTCCTGGATTCTTCTCCATTGCCTTTTCTCCGTGTTTCATGAAGTATTCACCATAGTTACTGCCAGGCCCTCTTGTAGCTGAGGCTTTGCATTGCAAATGTTCCCATCTTTGTGCCCATCCAGGCTCAGTCCACAACATAGTTCAAGGTGTGTGTGTGTGTGTGTGTGTGTGTGTGTGTGTGTGTGTAGTGTATGTAGTTCTTGTGCATACTTCAGGCTCAGTCCCCAATGCATGCATTTAAGTCTTCATGCTTCCATGCAGGGATGGCATTCATCCACTATTCATGGACTACTTTGATAACTAACATTGAATTCCTACCATGTGCCAAAACTTTTTGGGGTGTTTCATGATAACTCAGTATGCACAGCTTGCCAGTCTCTACCACCAAGATAAGAACAGGAATAAAAGGAAAGAAATGATAAATCTGGAAAGTTCGTTTATCCCTTGGTTTCAGAAGGTTCGGTTGACGGGCCTATGGCCCAATAGCTTTGGGGTTGTTATACAGCAGTTCATTATGGTGTCAGCCTATGGCTGAAAAGCCTAATTCATCTCTTTACAGGGAGACACAAAGAAGAGAACGGGGATGGAGTCTCACAGTGCCCTTCGGAGAAACTGCCACTGCCAATCACACCACAGGCTGGGGGGCAAATCCTCTACATGCTGGCCATTAGGGATGTTCAGATCCAAACTGCAGCGAAGGAGAAGAGGAAGATGGAAGAAGAGCTGACGGTCGAATAAACTAGGGAAAGAGTGAGGGAGTCAGAACGTGTACCTGATGCATGTTATGTGTTTTATTATTACATTATGATACACTTGTTTTGTTTATTTAGGTACTGGGGATTGAACTCATAACCTTGACCTTGCCAGGCAGGCACTTACGCCACTGAGCGAAAGTTCCAACCCACTTGTCTTTCTATTGTAATTTCTTTGCATCTACAGATGTGACTTTAAATTGTTCTTGCTGTAGAATCTTGAGATGCATCATTAGTGTTGTTCTCTAAGAAAAATAGCTTCATTATATTTGTATTATAGCAAATTACCTGTAACATGGCCATACCATATATATGTTTTCCTTCTCCCTCTGGGTAGCCTAATTGATATGTTAATCAGTGCTCTCCTCTGTAAAGCATTGCAAAATCTTAAATAATTGATATGTTAACCATTGTTGCCCTCTATAAATAACAGATATGGTGCTAAAATAAGCTAACAGGGGTTGTTAATTACTGTTGGACTTCTCTATTTTCTGCTGAGGAAACCAGGATGTTTTCCTAACTTAAACTTGTTTAAAGGGTAACTTGCTTGTGTGCAGGGAGACTTGCTTGTTATCACAACCCTTACCTGACCTTGTTCTTCCCCCCTCCCCAAAAAAGTAATCTTGCCGTATTTCTGTTCTGTAATGCGCCTCCTCTTGTTCTGTAAGCACCAAAAGGGTTAAGTTCCAAATCCTTGTAAAAACTTAAGTTTCAGCTTCTTTTTTTTTTTTTATTTAAGAGGAAAAAGAGAAAAACACAAAACAAAACAAAGCAGTGTAAGGTTACACATAATACAGAACTACAAAAAAAAACGTAACAGTAAGAAATCACCTGTTAATAGATTACATAATATCATCTTGGAAATAGTTGCTCAAATCACAGTATCAAAGAATACAAAGTAGACATTCAAACGGAGAGACTGCAAACAGCTGTGTTCAATGATCCAAAAACATTAATATAGGCAGCTATTTAACATCCCTAAACACACTTGTTGTTATATCCGTTAGAGCTCTTTTTTTTCCCCTCCCTCTCTTTTTTATAACAAAATTTACACATTTTGGATTTTATTACTCCTTAGTTCTT